GGTAGTTTCCAGACAAGTGTGTGCTTTGCATGCAAAGTGACTGACCTCACTCTAGTGACTGCCAGCAACCTCCAGCAACCAGTTGCCAACCAGTCACTGAATATACAGTTTTCCATAGAAATCGGTGGTTACCGGGTGGTAAACTACTAGTTTCTAAGCCTGCGGCACTGGTAGTCATTTTACAGCATCTATCAGCAACTTTTTGTAATTTTCCCAGCAACTTGCCAGATGATCCGTACTACAGGTCTCACACAGGCCAAGTGAGCAACCGACCACTTTTTGGAGGTAAAAATGACAAATGCTTATGTTTGTGTGAATATATGTGTTTGTGCTTATTGTGATTATCCTAGTTGAAAATCAATTCAATAAATCAACACAGCAAGGTTACTGTTTAAAGGTTTTTCAGGTAAAGTGTGAAGTGGAAATACATTAAATTATTTCTTTTTTTAGCTCCTTTTCATGGAAAAACATGAATGTATGACACAAACTGTGCATTTGGAGAATCTTCACATCACCACTGGGCATAAATAAAGATTTCTCTTAGGGGGAGTCTGCTCGCTCACGCTGTCTTACTGTGGATGCTTTATTCTGTGAATGACTTGGTCAAGGTCAATAAACTGCATACAGTAGATGTTTATTCACAATCTTATTTCGCTTGAATGAATATCAAGGCAGCCTCGAATTTACATGTCAAACACACGTGACGCGATCTTAACTAAGCGCGAGCACAGGAGGGGCATACTGCAAAAAAACAAAAACATTCACAGTGAAAGTCCTTTGAGACCGACCTGCTTCTTAAAAAAAGAAAAAGATCAACTCTCGTATCGGCACGTCTCCGTGTACAAGCACAGACGTCAAACACGTACCTCAGTTTACTGACGTTGGCCAGATAGAAGATCATATGAGGGCACTTCCACCAAAACCAAAACACTAACAAACGTGCCGTCTCTGCGACCGCAGGGACTTCCAGGCTTCTTGCGCAGCTGCACCTGAATCAGAGTTGACAGGAGCGAGGACTCCAGCTCACTTCCAGTTTGTTTCCTCTTGGATCAGCTCAGGCCTCAGAGAGGAAAGACAAAGACGGCTGAAGCCTCAAATCTCTGTTCCCCTTTTCTTCCTTGAAGTTTACACAGAAGATCTCTGAGCATCAACGACAACCTCTGACAGCACATAACCTTTCATCTAACAACTTTGTCCCCATTTGCCACCTTCCCTGTCAGCTGTTCCTGCACCCTCCCTCCCCATGTCCCCTATCCTGCAGCCCTATTTTGTGTCCTTACCCGCTCGGCAGCTCCCTCCCTCCCTCCCTCCTCTCCACCTTTCTTCCCTCCATCTCTCCGCAACAAATCACAATCTGTTTACAACCCCTCGGGCGCACTCCACAACTCTTCTGGCTCCAATTGCGGATCTATTTATACCAGACAATGCAGAGGGCTGGCGTCTCTGATTTGAGACTCGATAGCACGGCGTATATCCCACGGTCTGACTCGCTGAGCTCCACACTCATTAGGCTTAATAGATGTCATACTGAGAGCCGAGCGGAGCTGTTTAGAGAAGCAAAATGTGACTGAGGTCTCCCTCTTTTTATTTTCTGGCGCCGTGCAAAGAGACAAAGAACAGGTTTCACAGTGAGTTTAGCAGCAGGGTGCGACGAGAGGCAACAAGTAGCACATCTGTTGATGATGGAAAAGAGCTGCGGTCGCTTTATCGGCCTCTGAGAGCGGGCTGCGTGAACATCTCTTAGTTTTTCTCTCAGTGAGAGCTATCAGAGCGAGACTGGCTCTGAAACGGCCCGGCGACCTCCAAAAAACGAAAAGTGAAAAAACACAAACAGACCTCGGGCTAAGTAGGGAAAGGGAACAGGTTGGGAAACGTGTCGAGGTGCAGCAAGTCCTGTTCTTCTGAATGCAAGCCCCGACTTGTCGCCGTCTCAATGACATCACAGAGCGGTCTGCGGCACCGCGGGCTAACAGGAAGGAGACGGCAGAGACACAACATGTGAGATCTAGAGCGGGGCGACGTGTGAAGCCGAGGTGCGGTACGTGCAGAAGTCTTTAAATTAAGCGTGTCA